AGAGAGGGAGAAGGGGAGAGAAGGCGCTTGAGGAGACCAGGTCTATTAAAACTATTTCTAAACAATGAGAAAAGCAAGTGGACAAAGGCAGTGTTTTGGTAAAAGAGGAGGGGCTCAGGCCAGAGTGCTTCATTTTTTCCCTAAGGCAGGATGTGTTTTCTGTTGTGACTATCTATCTATCAAGTACTCATTTCCTCTCTCTCTTTTTCCTTACAGATTCCCAGTATTATTTTGGGCAGCTCTGTAAAACATTGCATTTCCCAGCTTCTCGTTCAGCCAGAGGTGGTGATGCAACTTAATATTCACTGATCATGGGGAAATTAGAAGGTGGGGTTGCTGAGAATGTTCTTTAAAGCCTGAAGTCTTGCACCCATTTGCTCCTTCCCCTTTCTCTACTTTCCTCCTGTAATAGGATTAGATGGCTGGAGCTGCAGTAGCTAGATAGTGAAGACAAATGAATCCTGATGCTACTTTGATGACTGTAGAACGAACACGCTGACCCTGGATCACCTGCCTCTCCATTTATTTTGCATGACAGAAAGGACAGCTATTTTTAAAGCCTTTAATATTTGGGCATTTTGTTACCAGTGGCCAAATATTTTATCTGTTTGGAGTGTGTGTGTGTATGTTTGTATGTGCGCATTTATGGGTGCATGCATGCATGGGCGTGTGTGTGTGTGTGTGTGTGTGTGTGTGTGTGTGTGTGTGTGTATGTGTGTGTGTGTGTGAACACAAAGCAAACGGGTTAGGGGTTTGAAATTTTGCTTTGCTCTAAAGTCAGTGATGAGGTGAAAGAGCTCAGAGCTGCTGCAGTAGGAAACAGTCTGGATAGCTGTGGTGTTAAGACACAGTTTTCTTGAATTCGCTTTCTTCTGACGCGGGTGCCTGCAGAGTGACCACGGAGTGAGCACGAGTCAGTCCGACTCTTCTTTGCTGCTGTTGATGTCATAATACCTCCCAGAAAGACTGAGGTTTAATTGTATGTCATTAGTAGATTTATTGAAGGAGGAAAATGCTTTCTTAATTCACATCAGGTTTAAGATCATTTCTGCAAACATTGATTAAAACATGAAAGGCACTTTAGCATACACCTCTCTGAAAATATGAAATTTATGTATACATGTTCACCATTGCTCAGATGCAGGGCTTTGAATGCCCTAAGTTTAAAATGATTCCTTTTTGTTTTCATGCCAAAATGTTTACTAGACAAAAGGTTAACAAGGCTTCAGTCCTCCTCCTCTCTTGCATGCTAAAACCATCTCTGTTTATTTGGAACCTCGACACCGTGCCTCCTTGGATATACCTCACATAGCTTCTTGGCTTAACTACAAATCTTAAACTATCTAGGCCAGTGGAGAGCTATTTTATTAATGTTTGTTATCAAAACTGAACTTCTTTTAAAATTCAATAATTAATAGAAAAAAATCTTTGCCATAGCACAAGATGCTCATCTGCTTTCCAACCCACTCTGCATGTAATTTCTGGGGCTTATGAGATTAAAAAATAACTCTGGTTGAAGCCACTTATTTAGTTTCATGGAAGCTGCAAATACAGTTGCTCTAGAAACAATCTAATCTGCCATCTCCCAATTATTTTTAATGGCTGCATTAATGCACTAACCAGATATATTTGAAAATCCATCTTGGCTGTGTTATCAGGACTGTGTACAATGGGCAATAGAGGATTTACTGGCTTACAGAACTATTAGTATTTTGACATTTATTTGAAAGTAAATGACACTTCAGTTCATTTAATATTTCAATGTTGAGAAAGACAGAGAGAGAGAGAGAGAGAGAGAGAGAGAGAGAGAAGGAGAGAGAGGTTTGATGGGAATAACTGACAGGCAGTATTTTTTAGACCTCTTGGATGGGTGGTGCAGATGAGAAGGAATAAGAATTCATTTGAAAACCTCTCCTTTTGGACAAGAATATGCTAGCTATCCATAACTCGTGTATTTAATAAAATATGTAAACATTGATTTAATTTTGGTTCAGCTTCAGAAGAGTGGTAAGGCATTAATTGGAGAATATATTTATCATTTACTCCTCTTTATTCTCTTCTTGCTTGATCAGGAACTAAATGGACTGAACAAGTCTTCATGCATGTGCATAGAGAAAACTCCCTCCAGAAAGATTCTGTGTCATATTAGTGCAAACCCTGACACCTTCCCACGGACTCAAAATCCTGAATGAGGCTGAGACTGGGAAGCAGCCGTCTCCTGGCACAGAGAAGAGGGTGCATGCTGACCAAAAGCATGGGTTGGGGCAGCTTGGGGAGACCCGAAGAGCCCAAATGAACAGCCTATTAGGCTGTTTTTCAGAAGCCCCTACTGGCACCAGTCCCAGCATGTCCCTAGAGGTGCCATTGCAAACTCCCATGCCCAGGAATTTACTTTTTCTTTTACTTGTTGGATCAGACAAAAAATCCCAGGCTCAAAGTATGAGGAGCTGAGGACTGGCACACTCCGCTCTCAGAATAATGTGGCTCACAAAATGGGGCTTTCTTCTCATTTTGAATCCCTGGCAGCAATCGTGGCCAAACAGGCAAAGACTTAGTAGACCTGGGGGTGGGGGAAGTTCTGAAAAGACTCTTCTGTGTGCCTTTGTGGGCCAGAATAGGTATGCAGCATCTGTGGCCTTGGGTTGGAGATCTAGCTTCTTTCTGCCAGGATGAATGATCACATTTGAAAGCTAAGATGAGCATTTTCAGCTGTGTACAAAGGTCCCAGCACAAATACTCAGCTGATGCCCCAGGCACGTAATGACATGTCATTGTGCCTAACACTGCCCTTGTGCTCTAGGCAGCCTAGAGAATAGGTATTCTGGCTAAATTCACTCATTGAGTGCCTGGGAGGCCTGTAGTCCCCAGAGCAGTCCTGGGAGAATGAAAAGCAGACGAAGTTTTAAACAGTGTGTCTGTTTGTGTGTGTGTGTGTGTGAATGTCTAAGACTTAACAGCATAGTAAAATATTTATTCTATTCTTTCTTAGCTAGCATGTGACCCATCAATAACTCACTGAAAGTATTTGGAAATATCAAGGTCTACTCAGTGGCACTAGGTGAATCCAGTCAACATGAATCTGTTAATGGAAAACAGAGCCCTCACTTCACTGGATGAGCCTTGACCCACAGAAAGGGAGCCTCAGGGATCACAGTGTTTCTTGAGCCAGAGGAAAGGGCTATGGGAATTGCTGTGTTTTTGGTTTTTAAGATGTTAACTGTCTGAGAAAATTGGCTCCTTCAGGTTAATCTCACTCTTGACCCTGAATTTCCTTGATTCATTTCACTAAAATTCAGCTCATCTTTGATAAATGATGCCAAGTGCATACAGGAATTGGGAAGCGGATGGGGTTATTCATACTAAATACATTGCCTCACTTTCCAGGGGGTTAGTTCCAGGGCCTCCTTGGGTACTAAAATGCTCAAGTCCCTTCTATAACATGGCAGGAATTTTTGTGTATAAACTATGTATATTCTCTTGTATACTTTAAATCACCCCTAGGTTATTTATAACACCTAGTACAACGTAAATGCTATGTAAATACTTGTATTGTTTAGGGAGTGACAAGAAAAAAGTCTATACATATTTAACACAGAGACAATTTTTTTAAGTATTTTCTCAAGTAGTTTCAGTCCACAGTTGGTTGAATTCACAGAGGCAGAACCTGAGAATCCAGAGTGCTGGCTGTAATAAGTGAACATTTGTCATGTGACCCTTGCTTTTTAGATTTTGTTCATGATGAGGCTGGAAGGGCTGGCATAGGAAATGAGCAGCCCTAGATTACAGAATGTTGGAAAGGGAAGAGTTATAAAGGCCAGGGCAGAAACCGGGAGGGAACAAGCTACGCTTGACCCTAGATGGGGGCTGTGCCAGTTTTCCCTTTTTGTCCCTCCAACTTTTTCCTAGGGTGCCAAGGAAGCACGTGGGAAGAGGGAAGAGGCAAAGATAGTTCAGGAAAGTCCTTTGTGGATCTGTCATTTTGTGTTCACAGGCAGAACACGTGAGGATGCAGTCATGTGTCTGGTTGTATAAGGGGGGATCTGGGTGAAATCACAAATGGATACAAATAATTTACCTTTTCCATTTTCTATACTTGTGTGCAGTATGAAAAACAGAAATGACTCAAATATATCATGAGGCATGAATTCTGGAGGGTTTTTTAGCAGTTATTTGGAATTGGTTTTATCCCAAGTGAAACTTGAAACTGCTTTTCTTTTCTATTTTATCTTTCTTTTATATGAAATGGCAACTTTTATTTCTAGAAGAAATAACCTTTTCCCACAAATGCAAATCTGTTGTGGTTATTCATATGAATGATCAATGTATCATACTTTCATATGGTTTTAGGGAGCAAGACTGGTTTTGAATGTGAGTGGACTTTGCTGTTGTTGGATTTATTATTTGGAAAGAAGTCAAAACAGAAGTTCCTGAGTTCCCTGAAGCTGCTCCCAAGTGACTTGCTCCCTAAGTTCAAAGCAAGTTCCCTTTGAGATGATAAATGAAAGTGAATAAAGTGGTAAATTTCTTAATTCCATTCTGATTAAGTGTCTAACTCACGATATGATGTACATGATCTCAGAGCCAGGGTCACATCCTCATTTTCGATACCTCTACTGGAATCCCCAGTTGTACTCCTGAAGTTTGGTGACATATTTACACCCAATGTGAGCTGGGAAGACTGCCAGACAGTGACCTCTCTCCCTAAGCAGCCTTCCACCTATTGCAGATTAACTGCTGCATGTCAATCTAAGTACACAGCACATTCCACTAAGACTGTTATCAAAAAGAGATGTTTACAGGGGAAAAGTGGATGGAAAAATTGTCTCTCCTATAAGAAATCATCCAGTGATCACTTGATGCTCCACAGTCCCAAAATCTGACTTTTGGTTGTTGTCAAACTATTCCTCATTAGGGATATTTCAAAAAAACCATACTCTCCAGACCATCAAGATGATTTCACTTTCATGTAAGCTATCAAGGATAACTACACAAATCCAAAATAACAGAGGACATCATTTTATTGGCTGTCCAGGGTAAGTTCATCACACAAGGAGGTGCAGACTGCAGTGGGTGGCACAACACAATACCTCATCTAACTACAGGACAGAAGGTTAACTGGTCCTGGACAGGATGAACCTGCAGCCTCCACAGCCCGGGCACCGCCACTTCCCATCCAACGAACTAGGTAAGCAGACGGTGGTGCTGCCCACAAGGCTTGGTCTGTTGTGCTGTCTTCTCACAAAACAGCACTTGGAAATTCACAAAACTGAAAAAAAGAAAGAAAGACAGAAAGAAAGAAAGAGAGAAGCAAAGAAAGAAAGAAAGAAGAAAGCAGTATCTTCTTTGGAATACCAACACCACTGTAACACAGACTGTAGCGTGGCATGCAAATCCACATCTGCTTGGGTATTTTTTTTCCCTTTTAGGATTTAAAAAAAATTAACAAATGAAATGACATGTCTCTTTCAAATGTTAGTAGCATAACACTTAAGTGCAATTTCAGTCTGGCCACTTCTGTATCAGGAACCTTCTGTGCATCTGTCCCAAGGGCAGCAGACAGCGCAGCATCCAGGCAGTGCAGCATCCAGGCAAGCTTCTTTTCCACCCAGCTCCTTCTGCCCAGTGAGGGTCCTTCCTCCCCAGGCCCACCCTGCAGAGCCCAAATACCTGAAAATAGCCACTTCTCTGTGTGTTCATTTTCCTGTCAAAGTGCTCAGGGTAGAGAAGAAATTTCAAATAAAATTAAGCTCAGAGGATCTGGGGCCTCCTTGCTCTTTGTTATCAGACAGGAGTGTGTTGGCTTTCACAGTTGTCTTTGTACCCAGGCCTGGGGCTGTCATCGCCCTGCTTCGGGCACAGCCTCTGTTGGCTCCCTCTTCCTGCGGAGGAGCCCTGTGGTCTCAGGGCCACCTGCAGATCACACGGAGCTGAGCTTTACCAGGCCGCGCACAGAGTCTTCATGTAGAGAGTCCTGGCTGGCCAGGCCTAGCACATGCATGGTGCGGCTATGGGTCAGAGGGCTGCCCGCTCCCAGCATCCTGGGTGGTGAGGGCGCCTCATCTGGAGTCAGGAACTGGTGGCCCCCGTGCTCATCCTTCAGGGGGAGAATGTCCGAGAGCGTGGCCTCGGCGGTGAGGTTGGGCATAGAGGAGGGTGGTGTGGGCTGGCCCAGTGTCAGGCTGGTGCATGGCGTGCCCAGGCCTGGCTTCCCTGGGAGGTGCATCTCATCGCTGGTGAGACTAGGCTCGCTCTGCAGCAGGGGTGTGGCTGCGGCCTGCAAAACGAATTTGGTGCTCTGAATGCACTGGTCTTGGTCGCACTGGAGAACAGCAGGAGCCAGCAATAGAAGGTGGAGATGGAATGGGAAGCGGGTGGCGGGGTGGGGAAGGGTGGGTGTGAGAAGAGAGAAACATTAGTGACATCTGAGTCAAGAAGAGGCAGAAAGCACAGATAGCAGCCCAGGCGCATCTAGAGGGACTCCCAGCACATGGCAAACACCAGAACCTGACATCAGAGTAGCCTGCTTGAATGCACAGTCACCCATAGGTGCCTGTGGCTTTGGTCTCCAACTTAAGGGATATAATTTAAAAACAATCCTATGGAGTGACAGGCTTCCCCCATCTATAGCAATTGTAGGCAACTACTTTGTATAGGCTGAAAACCACTTTTTACCGTATTGCATAAAAATACATCTATGTCAAAGCAGGAATATTTACAAAGTGAAAGCAACCCAAGTGTCCACTGATGGGTAAATGGGTAAACAAAACGTAGCCTATCCAAATGGAAAGGAATATTAGTACACCATAAGAAGAAAAGCAATTCTGACATGTTACAATGTAGATGAATCTTGAGGACATCATGCTGAGTAGAATAAACCAGCTACAAAAAGATAAATGCTGTGTGGGTCCACTGATATGAGGGACCTGGTCAGACTCACGGTGAGAAGGTAGAATGGAGGAGTTGGGGCTGGAGAGAGAGAAAGTTCACTGTTGTTCAGTGGGGTTTCGATTTGAGAAAATGACAAAATTCTGGAGCCAGAAGGCAGCAATGGCTACAGAACATAACGATGGCCTAGTATCACTGAGCTGCACATTTAAAGATGGTAGGTTCTATGTCTTTTGACCAAATAAAGACAAGGAACACAGAGGGATCACAGAAACCCTAAGGGGTTGGATCAGACTATTCTGCAAAAGCCTAGAATTCCTGCTGCTAAATTTCCACTAGCTTCAAGAACCAAGCATCACTGGGCTTCTGAGGTTTGATAATGCCGACATCTGAGAAGACTGTTCCTTTTTGTCCAAGTGTTCTGAAGTCCCATCACAGCTATCTTTTATCCTTTGTTTCACTTTAATCCCTGACAAAGAAAACAGCATAAACTCCTGGTCGCTCTACAACCCCATCCTTGAAAATGCAAAAGCTTCAGAATAAGCAGACTCCTAGGATGTGGAAATCCTAAATTTGACCCTGTCCAGTTCCTTGTTTCTCAGATTTAGAAAGCTGGATCTCTGCTTTTTTCTCTGAAAATTCTTGGGACAAGCCTATTTTCGTCTCTTTATAAATGGAGATCTCAAAGCTCAGAGGGTAACTCCTCATGTGTGAAAATAGATCAAACATTTGAAGCTGGGATCCTTTGACTGAAAACCAATCTACTACTGCAGATTTGATACATAGTGGGTGCTTAATAAGTGTCACTGGGCTTATTACTCTCTTGTGCTTTTTCAGAACTGGACAATTACTAAATAACCATGTACTGTACTTACAGTCTTGTGACTGAGGCGCTCCCAGGTTATCTAAACATCACTCCCCACTACACCCCCAGATGCTGTTGCAAAGGAACAGACAGCATCAGCAGCCTTAGAGGGAACAGGGAGAGAGCTTCCCTGACCCTGCAGATCTCCGGTGTTTATTTCATTTGCTCTAAAGTGTGCCCTGTGCTGACTCCTTCCTCTTCCCCAGTCTAGATGAGAAGGTTGAATTTGCTGTAGACTCTAAGTAAGGAGCAGCTTTTAGGAGTGCAGAGCCCTTAGCTCCAGGCAAGAGCCAGCTTCCAAGGGAGCCTTAAGGAGGAAAGCTGGTCTCAAGGCCAGTCCTTGCTTTTCTCTTGTGCTCCTTAAGACCCTTCCCTTCCCCCAAGGGGATGGACCACCTGCAAAACAAGGAGACCTGGGAGAGGCTTGGGAGAGTGGGAAGGGTGAGGAAGCTTGTGCAGTGGTTCAGAGGAGACCAAAAACCCACTGCAAAGCTATTGAAATGGGCTGACTGTCAAGCCCATAAGACTTGAATGTATCCATTTTCCTGCTTCGTTCAAGTCCTTCTTGCCTCAGTGGTGGTTTCTCAAGGTGGGCAACTCAGCAACTCTCTGCCCTCACAGGGAGGCTGGGTTAGGGCGTGGGGCCCTTTGAGTGCAGGCTGTGGAAGTCAAGGCACGCTGGTTCCTGCTTGCTGGCAACCTCTCAGGATTGGCGGTGCAGTAGCAGAGAAGCACAGCCTCTCTGATTGCCATTTATTTTCAGGATGTCATGCCATGTCATGCCAGGGTTGGATGTACTGTGCTTTATGAGGGCTGTTTTATGAAAATAAAGCACTCTTCCTGTAATGATCCAGCTTTCTGGAGCTCAGTACCGACCCCAGGTGGTCCTGCCCATGAGCTGGTCACAGTCTCCAGGTGGCCTTTCCCGGATGATGGAGTCTTGAATCAGCCTTCTCTGGAGTCCTTACTTATACCTTACTCTGTCTACACAATCCTTTAGACTCTAAGGAATGAGGAAACTACAAATTACGTTTGTTTGTCTCCACTGACCTGAAGAAAGTCATTTTTATTGAAAACTCATTGAAAATTCTATTTTAAAGATCAGTCTGAGTACTTCTTACAAGATCTTACAGATACATAGGAAAATATTAGAGGTTGGAGCTGGAAGGGATTTCCAAAGCCACTTGATAGGAGAATGAGGAGATTTAGGCTCCTCCTATTCTTTGTTTTTTCCTCCTCTGTTTTCTTTCTCTGTTTCTGTCTCCTTCTCTGATCCATCTTTCTGTTCTGAGCTTCTCCATCAACTGCCCCTTTTTTTTCCTGACCACTTCCCCTCCACCCATGAGCAAAACCCATGAGCACCCACCAGAACCTTCTGGACTCATGGGTGGGGAGTGAAGATAGTGACATTCCTGAAAGGTCCATCTGTCTTCTGAGGCTTGCAGCTATAAACATTACTTTGCTGGCTTAAAGCAAATAGCAGAGACCTAGAAGTAGATTCATTATGAAGCTGTCTTAGTTACTTGACACCCAAAGTTCAAGGAGGAAAAGGTTTATTTAGCTCACTGAGGTTTCATTGCATAATTGGCTGGCTCCAAGGCAGGATGACATGGTAGACAGGTGATGCAGAGGAAAAACATTCATGGTGGTCAGAGGGTAGCAAAGCAACAGTGGAGGAAAAAGACAAGTCTCTTTCTGTCCCTTATATTGTATCCAGGCTACTGGGATTAGAGCAGTGCCAAATCAGTACCAGCATACTGATTTACTAATCACCTATCCTTAACCCTAGCCTCAGTTCTAACATTGCACCATGTATCATCACACACTCTATATTTAGCGAATTCTGAAAAAGCCCCACCTATGACTGCATGAGGCTTTGTGGGGACATCTAGACACAAGTCATAACAGAAGCTAAGCAAGCTGAAGCTGCAGAGCCTGTGACTGGGACAGCCTCCTCCCAAAGCCTTGCACTCGATTTTCTTTTTCCTAAGGAAGCTCCATGGCAAGCTGTGGGTCCCTCTAGACCTGGCCCAGTCCTGCATCCACCCATTGGTGCTGTACTGGGACCAGATTAAGACTTGCTGACTAACTCACCAGGATTCAATTTAAAATGCTTTCTACTTCATCATGGGTAAAGCTTGAGGATATCAGTGAAAAAAGAAAATTATTAAAATACAAAGTTTAGCCTAAGCCACTGAATTAAAAAAATTATATATAAGCCACTCAGAAATTGTTTCTAAATGACTATTTTAACCCAGACTGATCTGACCCTAAGCACCTTTTCTACACAGATTTGATTAAATATATTGAAAGATAATTGTTTCTCTATGTCTCTTGCTACAGAGACTACTTTTGTATGACGGTTAACCTATACCATATTAATTGACCTGGTTAAGCTGGACACAGGTCCTGAGACTATAATCCTAAGTGTCGAATTCTTGCTGTATCCCATGACTTTGAAAATAGTTTGCTACATTGAAAACTGACTTCTGTTTAGAAGGCCAACCCTATGTGGGGACACAGGGATCAGGCTCTGTCTACAGGGTATAGGGTCCTGCCTATGTGACTCTCCTGTTGACTTGTAACAGAAGACTCCAGGATTTTTTTTTATCATATTTCACCCTGCAGAGAGAATGCATAACTCTATCCATTGGAATTTAAAATTCTTGTGTTATCTTTGCCTGTTTCGAACAGCTCCTTAGGAAAAATATCAAGTGATTCAGAGATAGCTGATATTTTTAAAAAATGAGTTAGAGTTTTCCCCCATTTTTTTTCACTGTGACAACGTTCCACAGGTGGTAGGTCGATAAACCTTCATTGTCTCAATTCCCATATGAGAGATTCAGAAAGGAACATGATCAATATATTCAGGGTCACTGTAGAAATGACCCATACAAAATTTCCTCTCTCTCTGCAAACCTCCTGCCTCAGCTTCCCTAGTAGCTGGGACTATAGGCATGCACCACCATACCTGGCTCATATCTCTTTCTTTTTTTTTAAATCTTCACTTCTAATTCTTATTTGCCCAGTTCTCAATTTTTTCCCTCTCTTTCTCTATGGATTTACCCATTCTCTTCCTTCTCACTTTTTTCCTCTCATTGACCTCTCTTCTTTGTCTCCCTTTTCCCTGTCTTCTCTTTTTGTTTTTGTCTTCCTTTTTAACTGCTCTTACCTTGAACTTCCACCACCCTGTCTTCCGGAATTTTCTTTTGAGGGTGGTTTTATTTTCCACCAGTAGAGGGAGACATAACTGCTTTTTTCCTCTTACAATTCATTCAGTGTGAACATTCCAACTAGCAGCAAGAAGTGTTATGTGTGTTTTAATTTATCTAACCAGTTATATAATCATAAGAAAAAACATCCTAACACCCAGATTTTTTTCTCTAGGGAAGAGTTTTCCCTATTTACTTATTTATTTATTGATATCACTGTGGATTCATAAGAACTTGTTTTACTCCATGAAATTATATTCAATTATTCTTATTATTTTTGATGGTCAGATTGTTTTAGATTGGGTACGAGAGCTTCTTTGGACTGGCTCCTGTCCTTTTTTTAAAATTTTATTTAAA